AGCAAACGCAAGATTAAATAATTATCGATGTCATCGAAATCACTAAAACAATGAAAAATGTGAAGTCTTACCTCATGTGAAGCTTCAGAAACATCGATTTCATGTTTCATTCGTCAAAAACAATTTTTCTCAATCAACATGTTTGTAGTTTCATTGGTTAGGATTTTGTTCAACAATGGAAGATGAGAGGGTTTTGATAGTTGAGAAGATAAATAATACGCTAAAAGTGATTTGGATTGTATTTATAATTTTTTTTTAAAACCTAATAAGGTCAAAATTATCATTGCATAATGGAGTAAATAAGTCATTTAATATTAAATTTTAATATGGGGTGCATTCAACATTTTGTGGGGTGTTAATATAAAAAGCCTTACCTTTTCTATTATTTTAAATGATTAAGTTTAGGGTTTGTAAGTTTTTTTTTTTTAATATTTGTTTTATATGTTTTCTTTGTAAAGATTTAGACATAAAATGTAAAAAGGTGGTCATGTGCCAAGCACATGACACTTTCTAACAGAAAATTGGATGGAGTTAAAGATACTTAACGGTAGGGGGTTAATTGGCCACTTTAACATAGTTTAGGGGGTCAATTGGCTAAAAAAATAGTTCAGGGGGGAAATTGAAACTCATGTGATAGTTCAGGGGGTTAAATGACAGTTTACTCTATGACTTATAAAGCACCAAGGGAAATCCCACCTTTCTCAAATGCACTGTGCAATATGTAAATTTTCATCACTAAGGTTTATAGCACATTTAATTAGTAGTGAACCATTTGCAAGTCCACTAACCATATTATTAATATGGACATTAGCAACTTTTGAAAACTACAGCACACTCATCTTAATAGGAATAGGATCCTCTCCGGATCCTTTTTGTAGGGATTCGGTGGATCAATCAATCATGTTCATTCATCATATATTGTGTGGTTATAAATCATTTAAAATTTAAAATTAAATATAAATAATACTTAACGAACAATATACGATAAACGGACACGATTGATTGATCTCACAAAAAGAATCCGGAAAGGATCCTTTTCCATCTTAATATGCATCCAATCAAATGCTGCACCGCCTTTTTCTCTCTCTGTTAGTTGGTCGTAACCATCCCCTACTCACTTTTCATTTTTTTCAAGTCATCGATGATTGGCAGCCATAACCGCCAGAATTCACAATCTTTAACATTGTGCAAGCCGCGCGCATCTACGCGACTGACATATATATATATATGATCATTACTATGTTGCTGAAAGAAAAGCAACAACTGCTTCTGAAACCTTAATCACAGATGAACACATATTTAATCATAAATTTTAATTTGAAATATTTAAACACGTATCTATTTGTAGTTGGGATCAACAACAGCTACTGCTATTCTTTCACAATTTTGTTTCGATAGTTTTGTTCTTTTAAAGTAAATTAATCGAGTTCAATCCCTAACTTTTAGGGTTTGTTTGGTATTGTGGTGCTTTGAAAAAAAAACTGTTTCTGTTGTGATGTGAGAATAAGCTCATTTTTGCTGTTTCACGTTTTCAGTTTTTTTTTCACTGAAAACTGTGAAAATAAGCTGTTTTAAGTATTTACCAAACACATTTTTGAGCTCAATTTTTTTTGATACCCACTTTTTATAAAAGCATCTCAATACCAAACCAATACTCAGTATGTTAATCCGCAACTAGTCTTCGCTTTCCATCCCAAAATTCTGAACTATTTATTGTCAAGTTCTCCTTGAAAAGCAAGCGGTTGCTGAAAAATATACACTCAATTTAAAAAGGTTTAGTTATCTTATTGTGGGCAAATAATAAAAATATAATATTTTCAATTAACAATGAAATGGCGAAATTTAGCACGGACGAATCTTGAATGATGACCTGAAACGAATAGAAGAGCTCTGTGAGCTGAACTGGGAATAGAACCATCCCACACATGAAGATTGCTATAATTAAAGCCTGCATCTATGATAGCATATGCAACGAAGTTGACCTCCCTTCAAATGTGGCTTCAAGAGATGTTCTCAAACCAGCAAGCTAAATACTTGATGTCTTGAATGATGAATTGAAGTCTCCAAAGAATCGAAGTTGACCTAGCCGTCCAAAGTGCATCTCACAAAGCAACACATTCTGCAACATTAATAGTGACAGCCCCCAAGCTCCTGGCACCAGAAAGAATAGGCCTGCCAAATTCATCTCTAACAACAAAGCCACTAGCATCATGATTATTAACCACAGATTCATCGAAGTTAATTTTAAGGCTCCCACAAGAAGGGGGGATCATTTGATAGACAAGTTCTCTTTTCAAACTTTTTTGCTAGCTTTATTTGCATTCAAATACTCTTCACCTAGCTTGGTTGAATTAATTTATACTAGTTGGTTATAGTTGACCGTTTTGTTAGATTTCATAAAATCATTAAATGTGTTATAACAATTTTTATTTGAAGGATAAAATGAGTAAAGAGAGGTTGATTCTAGTCCAAACATTGGTTAGGATTTTTATTTTATTTTGCGTCAAATCTAATTCATGCAAGACAATCTCTAGTTTGATAACTATTTTTCATTTTTTTGTTTTGACATCAGAAAAACGTTGGGAAAATAAAATCTCATTTTTCTATGTATTTTCTCTTACTGCTTCCTCCTACTCTTAAACTCAAATTTTGGTTCTAAATTTACCTCAATTTGCTTTAATTTTTGGGTCAAATATGAGTTTTAACCCAAAATTCATTTTTCTATGTGTATTTTCAGGTTTATATTTATAAATTTTTTGTTCCAACAACTAAGATCTAATGACCAAATCTAACAGTAAAAAAAAAAATCTAAATGTTCGAATTTAAATTCAACGGCTAAAATAATTAAAATAATTCTTTCAAAGTGTTCCACGAGTTTCATGGTATTGGTCTAGTGATTTTTCAATATTTATCGGAGTCTAAATATTTTTAGGTTACAATGTTCATAAAATTAAATTATGATAATCTACATAATAATTTTTTTTAAAACATTACTTTAAGAAATAGCTATCCAAAATTCATTATTTCATAATATCGAGCTAAAATTTAACCCATAAGGGTTTGAGCAGAAAATTTATTTCTAAGTTAAAACCTAAATTTTTTGAATTAAAAATTTTAGATTTTAACCCAAGGGTTGGAGATGTTCCTAGTTTCAATAAAAAATGAAAACGAAAAAGTAAAAACTAGAAGCTTACCAATTAATACATTGGGATGGGATGGGAAGGACAAAATATGAAGAGTAATGCCAGGAAGGTAAAATTTGTAAACTAAATGATGTGTCATCAATAGGAATAAATATGTTTATTAACGCTCAAGTAACAAACCAATCATCAATTTTTATGTTTTTTAGTTTTCAAAATTTTATCTACAAGTTTAGTTTTCCTAACATTAGCCAAATATGAATGTCCCTCCTTTTGAAAAGACCAACATCATTTGTATGCAGAAATTGGTTGGTAAGGCCATCTCCAACTGATAGATGGCCAGAGGGCTCGTTTTAGCCCTCTGGCCCTCCAAAATATTAATATTTTAATGAACAGTACATTGTTATATTTGCCTCCGTCTCCAACCGAGGGCCAAAGGGCCAGATGACTCGTTTTAGCCTTGTCACAAAAAACAATCTCCAACTGAGGGCCAAAGGGCCAAACATAATTTATTGTTTAAATTTAAAAACTATAACAACTTAAATTCAAATCCAACAACTTAAATTTAAAAACTACAACTTATATTTAAAAACGACGAATTAAATTTAAAAACTACAAATTAAATTTAAAGGAATGGTGAATGAATGGTTTATGTATTTATAAGGAAAAACTTAGAATTTTTATGAATTAAAAAAAAGGCCCAAAAACCTAAAAAAAAAAAATTGAATCCAACGGTAACTAGCGCTAGCTAGCAGTTGGATTCAAATTTTAGTTTAAGCATTCCTATCGGTTATAACTGACAGGAATACATTTATATTAAATAATATAAATCTATTTCTGTCGGTTATCACCGACAAGATTGGTGTTTGTTCTGGCCAGCCCTTCAGCCCTTTGGCCCTTTTAGATTCCATGAGGCCCTCTCATATTCCACTAGCCCTCTGGCCTAGCCTTCGGTTGGAGATTATTTTTGAGTTATTTTCGACCCTTTAGACCCTTCGGTTGGAGATGGCCTAATAAGTCCTATGGAACCAAATGCGTGCAGTTGCAGTTGCACCCCACAACAACACACCAAAACCGAAGAGTTGTATTGCAGTGCAGTATAGTGTTTTTTGTTACAACAAAAACCCTTCCAATATTATGCTCTCTTTTCTCAGACAGAAACGCATGAAACGCATGAAACTATTCCAATATTAAATGCAAAATTTTGACGCCAAATAGAGCGTCACGCATGTCGGAAACGAGTGCCCGTACCCCAGCTGCCTTAAATGCCGACAATTTATTTTTTCCTATGTAATGCCGTGTCCTGACACGTCCGATATATACAACACAAACGCACCTCTCTCCCCCGTACGCGACACACCACGCGCCACCACCTTGCTTCCTGCTGGAACGTGTCCAACACCACCTCAGCGCGTGCGACACTTTATCTTTTGCTTTTTCTTTTTTCATTTCTCATATGTTTGTTTTTATTTATAGAGTATATTGCCTCATTCGGACTTCTAAAAATGATGAAAAAAGATTTTTTAGAAACAACTTTTAGTAAAAATGTAAATAAATTTAAAAAAACATTTGAAGTGCACTTGTATCAAGCACAAGTTATGTTGTTTTTGCAAAAAAAACTTTAATCACTTTCGCCATTCAAAAATATTTTTTTATAAATCGCTTTCAATTATTTTGAATTATTTTTAAACGAGTTCTATCTGGAATTAGAGTAGTCTGTCTGACAATCCTCCACAGCTCTCTGAACAAGCGCGGTGAAAAAACGGAGGGTGAAAGGTGAAAGTGACCGGTTCAACCGGGAGTAGTCGGTTGGGATTGAGAAAATGGGAAAGTATATGAAGGACTTACAGGGAAGACAAGCTATTTTGCTTGCAGGGAGAGAGGTGGTGAGGGGAGTGAGACAATACACAGAATTTACACCTGACACACACACACACACACACTCTCTCTCTCTCTCTCTCTCTCTCTCTCTCTCTCTCTCTCTCTCTCTCTCTCTCTCTCTCTCTCTCTCTCTTTATCTTCTTCTTTCTGGGTTGATACTCTTTTATTACTTAGTGGGGTTTTTCTGTTTTTCTCTGATTTTAATCAATTGATTAATTGGGATGGAGTTTAACGATCAAGAGGACCACGAAGAGGAGATGGAGATGACGGCGAATTACGACTCGCTTGGAAACTCCGCCGGAGGCCGAGTCAAAATGTCGAGTTCTGGACCAGATGGTTTGGCGCTGGCAGCAGCAGCTGCGGCGGCGACTCAGCAGCAGCAGCAACCGAGGAAGGTTGTGAGGTACAGAGAGTGCTTAAAGAACCACGCGGTGGGGATTGGAGGCCACGCGCTGGACGGGTGCTGCAAGTTCTTGGCGGCCGGCCCCGAGGGCACGCTCGACGCGCTCAAGTGCGCCGCCTGCAACTGCCACCGCAACTTTCACCGAAAGGAGGGTGACCCGCCCGGACACGGTCTCGGAGTCATAACCGACGCGTGCGGGCAACTGGTACCGCACCACGGGCAGCAACACCACCCCCAGTTCTCGCCGTACTACCGGACTCCAGCTGGGTTTCTACACGTGGCGGCGCACCACAGGCTGCTGGCTTTGCCGTCGACTTCGGGAGGGGGAGGGACCCACAGCGGGGGGCAAGAGCAGGATGACGACGTGTCAAATCCCAGCGGGGGCGGTGGCGGAGGGAGTGGGGGTTTGGGAATGGGGATGGGTATGCACGGAACGGCGTCGTCGGGGAAGAAGAGATTCAGGACAAAGTTCAGTCAGGAGCAGAAAGAGAGGATGTTGAGCTTGGCGGAGAGGCTGGGGTGGAGGATTCAGAAGCAGGATGAACCGGCGGTTCAGCAGTTCTGCAACGAGACTGGAGTGAATCGCCATGTGCTCAAGGTTTGGATGCATAACAACAAACACACTCTGGGTAAGAAACCCTAGCTACTTAGCGAGCTAAGTTTATATGCTTATAACTTAAAGCACAAAAAAAAAAAACAAACCCCGAAAACCAAACAATGAACATGAACAAGAACCCACAACAAGTAAATCGTCATCGTCGTGGTTTGATCTCTTTTGTATTTATTATAATTTAGCTAGCTAGCATGTGGTAGTGGCATTTTATCAGTTATGGGCCATTCTTCTAATTTTCTGGTCAAGAAAATGATGAATGTGCCTGCAGCTGACTTTGTTGAGAAAAAAATCTACTACTTTTTCTCCGGATTTTAGTGTTTTAGCTAGGGTTTCGTTTAGTTTAATTGGGTAGCTAGTCGGTGTAGTGGATCATCCGTGTTATTTGAACACTTGATTTCGATGAATGTTGCCCATTAATTTGAATATTTCATCAGTACTGTATGTAAAATATTTATCTTAATTTGTTCATCTAGCTAGCAATGGGTTAATACTATCAATGTTTGTTGATTTTGCAATCTTTAGCTATAAATGCTGATCATATCATTATATCAATATACGTTGATTTAGCAATTTGGAGAAGGATTTGCCTGAAACGGTTCAACTAAGAAAGTTGAGGTTCCACCATAAAACTAATTGGCAATGGTAATATGAGGAGTAGCCCAACCTTTTATAAGATTATGTAAGGTATCTCCTCTCGTCAATATGAAATTCACTTTCAATATTGTGCAATATAATAAAATGTCATGTCTAAGTTTCTTTTTACATTGCATCGCTAGATTAGAATGTCAGATGACGATGAATCCGCTCATGCAATTTGCTCTCCACAATTTGTTTGTGTGATGAGTTGGTAGAGGGACTTGTGCAAGATTCAAGGATCGATCAGACGTGTGTGTGACGGATTCTGCATTTTTCCGTTTGATTCAATGCTGTCCACAATTTGTTTGTGTGATGAGTTGGCAGAGGGACTTGTACAAGATTCAAGGATCGATCAGACGTGTGTGTGATGGATTCTGCATTTTTCCGTTTGATTCAATGACTACCGATCATGTCTGTATCTTTTCTCCCCATGTGTGTACGTTTCTGCACTGTCATTCATTCATTTAATTTACTATTATGCTTCTTTTCTTCTCTTCTCGTCAATTCATCACATACCTCTTCGTTTTGGTCCACGAATCAGACTTTCTGTGTTGATATATTGCAAACCTTTTTCTCTTTATTCATACATACATACCTATATATGATGAATGCACTGCTTTCCATTTGCTTCTTTTCCCCCTTCGAATCATCTCTCTATCTCTCTCTCTCTCTACCAAGTAGCAGTCTTGCTCTTTCTTGCAGACACTGCAATTACTTTTGCAGTCATCATCTGTACTGCTGCATAATTATATATATATATATATATATATATATAGATATGTATAGATATAGAATTTACTCGGAACGTTGAAATTTCTTTTCTTTTTAATTTCCATGAAAAATGATTCTAAAAAATGAAAGAGTATTTTATAATTTTGTGTATATAGGTCGCGTTGATCCATGTGATCATATGATGGAAATTGTCTGTTTTAGTAGAAGGTAGAACCCAGACGATGATGATGGGGTCACCTTGGGAAGGAAACAAATACCTCAGTTATATTTAATTATTTGAATTTTTTTTTTGGTTAAATAATAGTTATTTATGTCATACTATTTATTTGTTTCTCTTCGGAATTGAGGATATAATCAGATAGTGAAACAGTAGTTTTTTTTTTTGGAAAATTTGAACTAAGTTCAGTTTTATAGGATTACTTTTTAAATAAGTTCAATTTTTAGTAATTTTTAATTTTTGAAATAAGTCTAATTTTTAGTTACTTTAAACTCATATAAAAAATATATATGTTTTTTTCCGTAGAAATTAACTCAAGTCCAAAATGTGGAGAGAGTTTCAGGCGATGATCGCTAGATCCAAAGCTCTCTCTCTCTGTGCAGATATATTCATTTTTTTTTCATTATTTTCTTCTGCTACTCTTTTTTTCCAAATATCAATGATCTGCTTCAAAGGGAACATGTGGACACTCTTGCAGCAAAAGTGAATGTACACAAGAGGGACAGATATTTTGTCTGCACCTCCCACAACTTCTACATACATATTCATCAAAGCTTCATCTTTTGGTTAATAACAATGTTAATTGTATGGTGCCTTCCAAGAATCTCGATTAATTAACCCTATTAGGGTTTGAGTAAATGTAACGATGGAAATTAACTCTAATAATTAACAAATTAAGGTGACTGATTTATAGTCTTCGTGACTACGTACTGAGTAAATGTAATGATGTACGGTATCCATGGCTACTGCAAAAGGAAAGCCACGGACTGAACTGTGAGCGAACCTCTACGTCACGGTTGAGCTTAGTTTTCCAGTTGGACAAAGTTCCATTTTAAGGGAGCGAAATTGAGAGGTGCAAATTGGTCTCGGGTGTTTTTAGGGTTTGATGTTTCAAGTTTACTAGCAAACCAACGTATAAAAATGGAAAACTTTTTTCGCAAGTTTTAATTTCTTCTTCTTTTAATTTGTTTGGTGAGAGAGTACCTAGATGATGAGATTTTTTTAAGATACTTTGCTTGTTTGGTGGAATCCCAACGTCAGTTTAAAGCTGCATGGTGGTCCATATACGTATATTTGAAATCTGGTTAAACTTCATTTTAGTAGATTCACACAGTTGTAAATCAATCACCTTATTTTATCCAACATTCCCATCAATTCATGCTTATTAATTCTTCCTTTGGAGTTGACAGCCATGAAAATTGCACATATATACTTGTCTCTTTATATGTAATCTGTTATGCGCTTCCAACGAGAAAGAATAACGACTCTTTACATGTAAAGAGTCAACAAGCCAACATTCTTATTCTCTGATAATCTAACAGTATGAATAGCAATCTAATTACTTATAAACACATACAAAGTTTCTTATTTTCTTGACGTGAAATTCATACTCTCAAAAAGTAGTCTTACCAGATCAAATTCAAATGCAAGTTCTTTTAGATAGCATTGAGCTCATGCAAAAAAGACTCTTGATTAGAATTAAAATGATTAAACATCTCAAGAAGGAAATTAATTTGTTGGTTATTAACTAACTAAAATCTAACTTGTATGACTGTCGATTCTTAATTTAGCTAAAATCATATTACAAGGAAAGAGCAAATCAACAAGAGAAATATTAAGGGGATTCTCTCAAAAGTGCGACTCTCCATAGATTCTCTATTACATCATGTTTTTTGCATAATGTTTAATTATGATGTTAACCCGAAAATTGACATTAAATTGTGAAGTGACAGAAAATTCATGAAGATTCTCACTTTTAAGTGAATCTCTTAGCATTTCTCAAATCAACAAAACAAACAAAAATAGCAAAGTAATAAGTACTAATAAACAAGGTTCTAAAAAACGCTAGGCACTAGTCGGGCGGCGGGCTGGCGCCTAGCACCTAGGCGGCTAGACAGGGTCTAGGAGGACGCCTAGTCGGATTTTGGTAAATTTATTGTATATCTTGTAAATAAGTGCATACTGACACTTACAGAAAATTATACTTGTATGAAATCCATGGATAAGATAATAAAAGAATGATAAAATGCAAAAAGAGTATCCAACAAGTCCAAAATTTAAAAACACATTAAGCATATATGTCATATAATCTTAGTGAAGAATATTGTAGGATGACACATCCGATTTTTCCAACCGTTTGCAAAAAAACATCTCAGCTCACCACCGTCTAGCGCCTAAGCGGCCTAGAACATTGCTAATAAACAAACATTCCCCTAATAATTAATTTCTACAGCTAAGCTAGCTTCTGGACCGTTACTGGAAGCTAGCTAGCCTTATGTTGGTTTTAGGTCCAAATTACAATAAATTTAGAATTTAGTTTGTTTTTGAAGTGTTTTTTCTATAAGTTTATAGTTGTTCTGGTGTTTTTTTCTCCAACTTTTAGCTTATCTTTCTTGCATTTGTTAGGGAATTTTTTTAAAATCTCATACGAACTAAAAATTCAAACGATTTGTCATATCCATTTTATCAAAATTTTAGTTTAAAATTTTAATTTGTTATGATGACCCGTACCTAATTTTATGTTTTTACAAATTTTAAAAGAGTTATTTTACGAAAATGCCTTAGAGGTGGGGTATTGACTTTCGTTGACTAAGGTTTAGTGAGACATATGACTTATTCTTTTAGCATATTTGCGTAGACACAATGATACGAACGCATAGACACAAGAGGAAGTGAATTTGGAGCTACGGGTAAAGTTTTACAGAGTTACAAATCTGAAAAGTTTGTTTCTAAGGATTTCTATTTTTTATTATTATTATTATTATTATTATTATTATTATTATTATTATTATTATTATTATTATGAGTTTATTTGAGAGTAATGAAGAAAAAAAAAGGAGAAGTGAGGGAGAGTTAGGAAGGGTAGAACTGCCCAACCGGCGGGAGAGAGAGAGTAGCTGAATCAGGAGAGGAGAGAGGAAAGGCTGGCCAATCAGAAAACAAGGAAGGAGGGAAAGGGGAAGGGGGAGAAATGGGGAAAAATAGGGGAAACAGGTTCCCCCAACCCGTGCAAACCGACCCATTTCTCCATATATTCCAATGGTTTTCCACTGGATTTCCCATGAATTGGATCAAGACACCACTTCCAATCATCACCTAGTCCTTTCCTCTTCCATTTCCACCCAAACTTGGAAGAGATTTAGTTGTAAATCAATGAATAACCTGTAGGGATGTTGTGAGAACCTTGCTCGAAATCCACCAATTGTGAAACGTTTTCCTTCAATTACCACCACCATTAGACTTCCTTAGAACCCAGGAACAAAGCCCAAGCAGTGGTGGAGGCGTCGGAGCAAGTTTGGAGGTCGAATCGAATCACACCCAATTCTAGGGTTCCGGTGGGTTCGAGGTAAATTGGGGCCTTTTCCAGGCCAAATTAGACTTGGCCACAGGTATAAAGTTTACTCTACTCATTGAGACCTACAATTCTGTAAAATTTGGTAATTATAGAAATAGTTGGATTTTTCGACGAGTCGGGGCGGCCGATCGCCACACACAGTGGCGCGTGGTCATAAGGTCGTCAATGCTATTTTAGGATGAATTAGATGACTTGAATTCAATCCTATTAATCGTATGACATAGATTGATTGTTGGATCCTAAATTCTCTATGTTACGTTAATAGGTCATTGTATGAATCGACGATCCAACCGTTGGATCGTCACCAAACTTTAATATGTTATATTACGTAATATTTAAGGACCATAGGAACTTATGGATTGAGAATCCGATATATGGATCTTCTTGAATTGGATTTGTAAGTTCATAAAATAAAAAGTTAACCGCCACTTGGTTTTGGCAATTGGCGGAGATCCGACCATTTGAGCATAATGAAACTTTAGGATGTTGTTCTAGACGTTTAATGTGGATCTTTGGAAGTAAGGGATCGGAAATCCGTGATGCAGATCTTCCAAATCGAACTACATAGGAATGTGTTTTATATAAGTTACATACTCTATCGTTAAGATTTCTGAGACACGATTTGATAATTGTTCTAGGCGCCGATCGTTCATGACGCCTCGATGTGTATGCTAGGGACTGGTAGTGCGGACTCCAGGTGAGTGGCCTTTTGGTTTTCAATATATATATATACACACACACACACACACACACACACACACACACACACACTTGGTATTTTCCTAGAAAACTTAATTAAATGGTTTTATATTTTGAAATGCCATGTTAAATGCTCTCTATGTTTGATTATGCATTAGTATGGTGATATATATTGTTGCTTGATGCTGCGGACGCTCAGGTAAGCTTCAGGTGAGTATATTGATGGTAGTGAGTATAATTGTGTTGAGATGTATTTAAAGCTTATTATCTTGCACCCTAGTGTTAGTGTTCTGCCTGAGGTTAGGGCCTAGCCTTCACGTGATCGTTCACCTCCCGCACCACATGCTTACCTTGGATCCAAGGCAGGTGCCAGCCTGTCGTACAGACCTCATTAGATGGTTTCGACTCGTAGGTGACTTGCAATACTTCGCATAGCCTTCACGTGATCGTAGCACTTGAGCATATTTATTTGCACCTAGCCTGTTG